AGAGAGAGAGGGGGGGGGGGGTGAGGGGAAGGGGGTAGATAAAAGCGTGAGTTTTTCTTTAATGAAAGTGAGATATAAAACAAGACATCTTTCACTCTTGTTATACATCACAATTAGAATGAAAAAAAAGAACAAATCTATGTGAACGGAAGAATAAAATCGTCTTCACTTTACCGCTATCAGCAAAATTAGACAAAAACATTCTTACCCTGCTAGCGGTCTATAATATCCTCAGAAGGCCAAAGTGGCAAATCGAACACTGTGCCACTCAACGTATAGAACACCAAAAGCTCATCCAACGGCCAGGAACCGAAAGCGGGAGTCGCGAATGAAAGCCAACGGCGAGAGACAATCCCATTTTTTTGTCTTTTCTTTTTTTTTGGGGTCTTTTTTGTCTTTTCGCAGGTCAAAAAGAACTCTCTCTCTCTCTCTGCCTCTCCCTCTCTCCTCGCGTAAAAAAAAGTCGAGGTATCTATAGCACTGCTAAATTGAGGAACACTCGGTGGTTAAAAAAAAAATCTAACAGACTCTCCTCGCGTTGTTTCGGTTTCTGCAACACCCAGCGACGAACATTCAGTGGTCAGGAACTTCTACTACAACTACTACTACAACAAACTACTCTCTTTTAGCGTGGGGTGGAGAGAGAGAGAGAGAAAGACAGAAAAAAAGAGCCAGTTGCGTCGCGTTGTGTTGCATTGCGTTACCACCGCTAAAACGACCCAAAACCTCTTCGCCGGTCAAGAATTCTCGCTTCGCAGAAAAGCGCGTGCGAGTGGCTACGCGGCAGTGGTGATGGTGATGGTGGTGGTGGCGGGTGGCGGTGGTGGTAAAACCAGCAGCAGCAGCAGATATTATTCCGAGAGAGAAGCAGAAGAGTGGAACGGGGAGGCTACATCAGGGGTGCTAGGAGTCGGCGTTCTCTGGACTCTTCTGTGGGTCTCACAGAGACTACTCTGTGGGTTTCTGTGAGCGCGCGAGGTTTCTCGGAAGTCTTTAATATGTTTTTCTAAGCCCACGCAGGATCGGAGAGACCGGCCCAGGGCAGGAGAGGGACCGGGAGGAGAAATTGATTTCACGCGGTATAATCTGGATGGTGACCGGAAGGGCGGCTGGTCAGGGGGAGATGGACACACGAAACTGCTTTTTAGAGGGTGAGGGTGAGGGCAATCGGGGTGAGGAGGTGGGGGTGGATGAGGGATGCTGGAGATGAGAAAGAGTGTGCGTGTATGCTTGTGTGTATGTGTGTGTGTGTGTACGTATGTATGTGTGTGTGTGTGTGTTTGTGAGTGTGTGTGTGTGCGTGTGCGTGTGTGTGTGCGTGTGTGTGTGTGTGTTTGATTTAGAGAGACAGATAGAGAGA